AGATGATATAGCAGTATTAGCATCTAGCAAGGAGGACCTAGAGATAGCTTTAAATAAAATGGAAGCGGTACTGACAGATCAGTACTGTATGAAAATAAATAAAATTAAAACTAAAATACTGGTATGCAAGGGAAGAAAAAGTAGGGAAAGAGCGAATATAAAGATAGGAGACGAAAAAATAGAAGAAGTGGCTGATTTTAGATATCTAGGAAGTCAGATAAGTCAGGATGGCAGGAGTAGTAGGGATATAAGCAGAGGATAGCGCAGGGTCGTGTCGCCTTCAATAAAAAGAAGTCACTTCTATGCTCTCGAACAGTTAATTTAGAAATTCGAAAAATGTTGTTAAAGGTGTATGTTTGGAGCACGACGTTGTACGAGTGCGAAACATGGACAGTGGGCGCGGCGGAAAAGAAAAGGTTAAAAGCGTTCGAAATGTGGTGTTACAGGCGAATGATGAGGATAACATGGGTAGAAAAGGTTAGAAATGAAGAGGTATTAGAAAGAATAGGAGAACAGAGGACTCTATGGAAGTCAATAAAAAATAGGCGAGATAGGTTGGTAGGACACCTTCTGAGGCATGAAGGTCTAGTCAGAGACATATTAGAGGAAGAAACGGAAGTTAGGAGGGGTAGAGGTAGACCTAGATTAGATTACTGTTCGCAAACAGTTAAGGATGTGGGTTGTTATTGTTTTAGGGAAATGCGAAGATTATCTGAGGATAAGATAGGAAAGAGTGGAGGTGCGTGTCCAACCAGTCTTACGACTGACGACCTTATGATGATGATGAATTGTGAAATAAAATTAAATAACTAAATGACTAAGTAAGACATCACCAGCGTCTGGAATTTGCAATGAATATTTACCAATTGATACAAAAGTGACAATGGTTGAAAGTTCTGGCGCTGGTGCCCATTTTCCAAAGAGATACGTGCAGCAGGGGAAAAGCCACCCCTGACTGAACCCTTGTATCCCCCTGCATAATATTACAGTCCAAGAACCAAATGCAGCTAGTGGAGGTATCAGAAGCGATGCCACAGAAGACAGCAGCATTGTCACAACGAGAAACCATTTGGCCCCGAATCTTTCGGCAGCTTGACCCGCCCCAATTTGGGGTATGAAATAGACCCAAAAGAAAGCTGATAATATTACATTTTGATCTGTCCAATTGTATACCTTAATATAACAAAAGAAAATTTAAATTTAATACTATATGACATAAGCATAGTGGTCATTAAAGGTCTCATTCAATTACAAGAATATGTTTCTATTTGGTTCAGGTTTTCGCGACCATCGTTAATGTTGTCGTGGTTGTTCGGGCGTTTTGGCCGTCGTATTTTAAGGTTTATCCTCGACGTTTCGTCGTCAAGCAAAGACGACATCTTCGTCTGTCAGGCAGATCTCTACTGACTGCAGCAGCAGTAGTATCTCCTGAAGATGTCGTCCGTGCGTGGCGACGAAACGTAGAGGATAAACCTTGAAATACGACGGCCAAAATGCCCGAACAACCACGACAACAAGAACATGTTTGTATTATATTATGCCTTTTTGGTCGAATATTATCATTTTCTTAGACAATTTAAAACTTACTGGAATATTTTCGTTGGGATTAATGTTTTTATCTGTCATCGCAACTATGCCAACCGACAGGTTTACCCTTTGACCGTAAGCAATGCCCAGCATAAAGCAGAGAAGGGTCATTTGAACATGGCGAACTCCAAGCCATTTTTCTAGAAGAAAAAGTATTCGGTCTTTTTTTTTTTATTTTATCTAATCGAGACTCAATGCTCATTAAAATTGTAGAATCTTTTTGCTATAATAATTATCATGCATGTTTTCAAAAAAAGTATTCTAAAAAAAGATAAGAAAAATTGTTCTTTATCATGGATTATTATTTTCAAGTAGGTGTCACATCAAACATATACCGGTCGGAAAAGCTTTCTTGAATTCCGTCTTTATTTTCAAACCACTTATGTCTGTCAAAGATTATTTATTAATGAAAGTTTCTCAAAGCTTTATGTTTAAACGAGAAAAAAAGTAAAATAACAAGAAAATAGTACATTTGATTATAAGCAGACAAAGTATAATATTGTTTTTTAAAAAGCATTCATGTAAATGTAGTGTTACAGGCGAATGATGAGGATACCGTGGATAGAGAAGGTTAGAAATGAAGAGGTTTTAGAAAGAATAGGAGAACAGAGGACTCTGTGGAAGTCAATGAGAATTAGGCGAGATAGGTTGGTAGGACACCTTCTGAGGCATGAAGGTCTAGTCAGAGACATATTAGAGACAGAAACAGGAGTTAGGAGGGGTAGAGGTAGACCTGGATTAGATTACAGTTCGTAAATAATTAAGGATATGGGTTATTATAGTTTTAGGGAAATGCGAAGATTATCTGAGGATAAGATAGGAAAAAGTGGAGGTGCGTGTCCAACCAGTCTTAGGACTGACGACCCTATGATGATGATAATTCATACTTGCAACATTTTTGCATAAAAATCCGTTGTTTCTTTCATATACGCGTAGAATGTGTTGTCTATATAAAACATAAAAGTTTTTTACATTCGCGGTACAAAAAATATAGCGAGATAATCAGTAATATCTTATCAATGAAGTTTTTATTTAACCTCTATCTATTTTATTGTCCATATATGTGATACACATGCAAGAGAAAGTATCTTTTATATATAAAATGCGTCTATAAAGTTTTAGAAGTTCAAGTCTGTTTGTAGTTAGTTGACATTAATTTGCATTTTATTTGCTTCCCATTGCCGTATAGTAACCATGGGAAAGTTAAAATCGTCAAGCAAATAACTCACCAGGTCTTTTGTGAATCGGTTTTTCAGTATCTGGGTTCTCTTGTTCTAGTTGTTTCATTTTCGTCGTCTCATAAAGCACAAACTTTTAAAAATAGAGGCACTAGCGTGTGTTAAAATACGCACTCGAGTCGCGTGTACTAAATATCAAATATGCCGTTGCTATTAATTACATACTACATACTTTTTAAACGTTCGCTTTAGAAAAAGATAAAGATATCGTGAACTGTTTTTATCTGTAGTTGAAAAAGTAACGAAACCGCTTTAAAATAAATTAACAATTTACAATAGATAGGTACTCCTTGTATAAACTCGCAAAGTGTAATTGTAATAATTTTATTATCACACCGAATAATTAGTTAGTTTTACGTACAAATGTATTTCGCATTAATATCGGAATGTAAGCAGGTAGGATGGAATGTATGTATATATATATATATAACATTAACTTGTACTTTCTTTAGAAAGTCATTTACATCAACAAGAGTTGATTAGCAACGTTAATATAGCAATTATAAGATATAGATAGCAAAGTTAACTGAACCAGACCTTGACATACGTTTAGTATTGTGATTGTTTAAAACTTAAAGACTTAAAACCGGGCTAGAATTAAAATTACGCTTTAAAAGTATTAGTTATCACTCTTCTTATGCTTAATGGATTAGTTCTTCTTGTTTATTTTCTTTTCCTGTACTTCGCATTTAATCATGAAGAGAACTAGAGTCCGGATCTATATGTTATTAAGCACTAAGAACAATACAAATTCTCAATCGATGTTTTATCGAAAGTACCTACTAGAGTTATTTGTAGAATTTCAAATACCACTGTTAGCATATCTCTAAATAATGATACACTTTCTAAGCAGTTCTAAAAGTAGGACAAATTTTAATTCACTCCTAATTCACTAGGAGTTAAAAGAAAATCGGCGATAAACAAAGTTTTGATTTCTTCTGGGGATGTATGCTGTCGTACAAACTCTCAAAAAAATACGGAGTTAAAATAGTATTGGCCAATTGTCGAATCACCGGTAGAGAACTTGCTGAGGACCTGAACATATCGATTGGCACCTGTCATTCGACTTTTACCAGTGATTTGGGCATGGACGGGTCGCCGCGAAATTCGTATCAAAACTACTCAATTTCGACCAAAAACAGCATCGCATTAACATTGCTAAGGAGCTGTTGGATTCTGCACGCGACGACACAAATTTGCTCCAAAGGGTCATAACTGGTGACGAATCATGGGTTTATGGTTATGCCGTGGAAACCAAAGCTCAATCATCCCATTGGAAGCTGCCGCACGAGCCAAGACCGAAAATAGCACGTCAAGATAGGTCGAATGTGATGGTTTTGCATACAGTTTTCTTTGATTGCTAGGAGCATGGTGCATCATGAGTTCTTGCCACAGGGTAGAACGATCAATAAGGAATATTACCTGCAAGTTATGAGCAATTTGCGCGAAGCAATCCGCCAGAAACGCCCAGATTTGTGGAAGAACAAAGATTGGCTTTTGCACCATGATAACGCCCCTGCTTACACATCGTTGCTTGGGCGCGAATTTTTGGTCAAAAGCAACACACTAATAATGCCGCAGTCACCGTATTCCCCAGATCTGGCCCCCTGTGACTTTTTCTTGTTCCCGAAACTGAAGAGGCCCACAGAAGGACGACGCTATGCTACTATTGAGGAGATAAAGACGGCAAGCAGAAGCTGAACAACATCGCTAAAAATAATTTTTTGAAGTGCTTCGGGGATTGTCAAAAACGTTGGCAAAAGTGTATAATATCTGGAGACGATTACTTTGAAGAAGACAAAATAGATATTCATAAATAAATAGATAAATAAATAATTTTGGAAAACACAAAATTTGCAATACTTTTTGACCAAACCTCATACGTATTTCAAATGATTCGTTTTCAGAAATTAGAAGAGAAAAATTAATTGGTCGGGTTTATCAACTCTTTTATTTGAAATAAATAAAAAACACTCTTTAATAACAAGATATAATAACGAATATTATTCGCATAAATGTCCATCAGTTGCACTGTTTTCTACGTCTTTTTTCCGTTGTTTATCGTAGTTATTCCACTCCTGTCTCTCACCTGTGGCAAATACGACGTAAAATAATCCACCCAGGAAATTTATCCCAGCTGTCAAATAAAACACGTTCGACCATTGACTAGAGTTTGTCTGGAAAAAGAAATAATATTAACGAAATACACTCACGTAACCCATTTAAATTAATTACCAATACAAGGATTAAGAGCATTCATACCCAACAAATAAACTAATGTGATAAGTCAGGTACAAACACAACCCAATTTGTTTCTTCCAAAGGTATTTTAGATAAACTAAATTATCGTTTATTCTCAAGTGTGTATACATCTTTGTGTAGAATGTCTCTATTAGTTGTAACTAATACAAATGTATAACAATAAAATAAGGCATTTACAAGGGTGAATGTTAAATTTTTGAAGGTGTTTCAAAACATTCTGTACTTATGTGAAGTGTCGGCTTTAACGTAAAGGAGGTAGGTTGGATGGTATCTTCGGGCTCTGTGNGAACATAGACCAACTTTTACCTGCTGTCTTAACAGTGCGTTTTAGAAAATACTACAAATGGCGCAGTAAACGCCATCTGTGGCACGATGCTACATTTTAGGATTACGTATGCTCCACTTTTATGGATATCTACTTGCTGAAAACGAATACCGGCGTAGCCAACCTCAACGTGATAGGCACGTTAGCTTAATCGAATAAAATAATTCGAAATGGTCTGTATTCTGTCGAAACTGCCAGACGCGGATCGCGATTTCGATCTTTTTGGATCTCATCAGCGCGTCGAGCATACGTAATCCTAAAATGTAGCATCGTCCTACAGATGGGGTTTACTGCGCCATTTGTAGTATCTTCTAAAAGTTAATATTAGTAATCTTACGTTATCTTTGACAAACACTCCGACAAGCAATGGACTCGGTATCGACAGAGCGTTCGCAATCGAATTTGTAATTCCCATAATTGTGCCAGCATAAACAGGAGACAGATCCAAATGGTTAAACATGAACCCCGCAGTTGAAGCAGCGCTTACACCGCCAGCTAATACCAAAAGTATGATAGCCAATAATGAAGTAGTGTTTTCTTGATACAAACCCAAAACTAACATTGCTACGCCAGGAACTATAAAACCTACAAAAAAAAAACACTCACGACCCTGTAAATCATAGAAGATGAGCTATGAATATGGTGGAATAGTTGGTCGAAGGAGGGATTGGATTATTATGTCCTCTGAGGTCACCTTTACTCCAGCTCCTTATCTTCCGTTCCCACCTACAAACACTCTTGGTGTTGTACAAGGTCAGTCTCTCACCCTTACCGCTTCCCCTTCATCTAGCCCATCCACCTTCGACCAATGGTCCCATTATCTACACAGCTATCGACAGCTGCAATTCTTACCAATGGTATTCGCAATTTTTCTTCCAACAGTTAGACTGACCCATTGTTTGTTGATAATGTAGTCAGTTGCTACACCAAATAGTAAGGTCAGAATGGTATTGGCTATGTAGGGCAAGGCAGAAACAAGTCCGTTCTATACAAAACATTAGGGTTTACTAACTAACAGACCTAATCACATAGTAATATGTACAGTTACACGTACATCATCTATGTTAATACCGAACACATAGTTCATATATGTTGGAATCTCTGTGAGACAGGTGTAAAGCCCCCAATCCGAGCAAATATTTGATACGAGAATTGCCCAAACCGGAAGAGATAGAACCATATGTTTCCAGGGGGTTGAACGGGGCTGTAAAATATTGGACCCATTACTTAAATAGAGTTAATTCAACGTCTTTAGTAACAAATAATGCGCTAATGTTTAGCAAGTATAAAAACATGATTGATTAAATACTTCATCGACGTTGTCATTTCCGAGGGTTGACATGATGTAGTGCTGTTCCGCGGGGGTAATATCTTTATGTTCATGGGGAGCGTTACTTCCTAAAATTATGTACACGACGACCCATAACAACCCAAGACAACCGGAAGTGTAAAATGCCAAAGGCCAACCGTATTTACCCGCGCTCATCACACCCGTTAAACTCATGGACGCAGCAATCCCTACTTGGGGTCCTAAAAATTACAAGAAGGAATTTATATTACACTGGGGACAATTTACTAATAAAATGCTGGTAACTGTGCGAAAAATGACCAATTAAGATAATCAGGGACGTTCATAATTTGTAATTACTATTTACCAATTGATACGAAAGCGACAATGGTTGAAAGTTCTGGCGCTGGCGCCCATTTTCCAATGAGATACGTGCAACAGGGAAAAACCGACCCTTGACTAAAACCTTGTATCCCCCTGCATAATATTACAGTCCAAGAACCAAATGCGGCCAATGGAGGTATCAGAATTGATGCCACAGAAGACAGTAACATTGTCCCAACGAGAATCCATTTGGCCCCGAATCTTTCGGCAGCTTGACCCGCCCCAATTTGGGGTATGAAATAGACCCAAAAGAAAGCCGATAATATTACATTTTGATTTGTCCAATTGTACACCTGAATGTAACAAAAGAAAATTTAAACAGCCAAGGGTTGAAATGTAATACAATTCTGCATAATCGCACTAGCCACTGAAGTTCATGTTCAGTTACATTATTACAACAAATACTGGTCTATTTGTAATGTTTTGTTTCATAGTATGCCTTTTTGTGACCTTTGCACTTCAGATAGTTCGAATAATATCATTTATAAAATAGTTTCATTTATTTTCTTCATTCATTAAAAACTTACTGGAATGTTTTCGTTGGGATTGGTGTTTTTATCTGTCATTGCGACTATGCCAACGGAAAGGTTTACCCTCTGACCGTAGGCAATACCCATCATAAGGCAAAGAAGGGTCATTTGAATATGGCGGACTCCAAGCCATCTTTCTAAAAAAAAAGTATTGGGTCTTTTTTTTATTTTATCTAATCTAGAGGTTTTAGAAAGAATAGGAGAACAGATGACTCTATGGAAGTCAATATGAAATAGTTGGGTAGGACACCTTCTCAGACATGAAGGTTCAGTCATTAGAGGTAGAAACAGGAGTTAGGAGGGGTAGAGGTAGACCTAGGTTAGATTACTGTTCGCAAGGTGGGTTGTTCTGATTTTAGGGAAGTTTAGCTCAGGATAGGAAGGAGTGGAGATGCGTGTCCAACCAGTCTTAGGACTGACGACCTTATGATGATGATGATGAATCTAGACACACTTTTCATTAAAATTGTAGAACTTTATTGCTATAATTAATATAATCCGTATTTAGAATAGTATTCCAAAAAAAAATGATAAGCAGCATTATCCTTTATCATGGATCATTATTATCAAATGTATATGCCACATGAAACATATACTAGTCGAAAAATCTGTATTGAATTACGTATTTATTTACAAATAGCTTATGTTTATCAAAAATTAAGCATTAATGTAATTCTTCTCAAACATTTAGTAGTTTTTTTGCAATGATACCATATTAACTTGTAGAGAGATGCATACGTATGTAACGCAGGGTAATCCATGTTTATACGAGAAAAACAAAACAAAAATAGTACCCAGATCAATTGATTACAAGCAAACAAAATAACATTCTTACAGACAATTATTTTTGCTTAAAAATCCGTTCTATTCTTCATGAACGAGTGCGATGTGTTATCTATATCAATCATACAATGATAATATTATACGCATGTGAAAAGTTCTTTCGAATTTTACTTTTCATAGGGTAAACCTTCTGAAATTTGGTCGCCGATTAGGGCTTATAAACTAAACGAAAATATTCGTCCCTAATTTAAAACATTTCGCAATTAGATACAATCGATTTATATCATCAAACAAACAACTCACCAGGTCTTTTGTGAATCTGTTTTTCTGTATCCGGGTTCTCTTGTTCGAGTTGTTTTATTTTCGCCATCTCATAAACCACAAACTTTTAAAAATAGAGGCACTAGCGTGTATTAAAATGTACAGCCAATACGCGTGTACTAATTTTATCAAATATGCTATTGCTTACATAATTACATACCCACTGCACATTTTTTTAAGGTTCGCTGTAGAAAAAGATAAAGATACTGTTTTTATCTGTAGTTGAAAAAATAAAACGAAACCGCTTTAAAATTAATTAACAATTTGGAATAGATATGTAGATACTCTTTGTAAAATGAGTTTTTCGAAATATGTAGAAGGAAATGATTCGTGATGTCGGCTTTTTTTTTTAACCAATATTCAAATTTAGACGCATGAAATTTCGATCTTGCCAGTAGCTCAAGCCGATTCCAATTTCTACGATATAAATGCACGACAGGGTGTTATAAGGTGGCAAGTACTTTGACGAAAATGGGTTTTCCGTAATAGATGGAAATGATTCATAATTTCCACTCCTTTTTAACCAATATTCAAATTTGGACGCATGAAATTTCGATGTTGACAGTGGTTCAAACCAATTCAAATTTGTATGATATAAAAGTGCGACAGGGTGACGTATGATGACAGGTATTTTGACGAAAATCAGTTTTGCGTAATCAAAGCGATTTCGACATAATCAATTTTCAACGAGAGGCGGATCTAGGAAGGTAATCCAAGCGATCCATTTTCCATTGGGCCATGAAACCCTAGGAGGTAGGCAAGACATTAGATGTTTTGCTTAGGATCGTAAAAAATGTCTCATTTTGCGAATAAATCGGGAAATTCCATATCCAAAAACTCCCTAAACTAACAGCTAATTCACTGTGATTTCTTCCGGGGGGGGGGGTGTTATAGTATCGATTCCCAAAAAATCACTTCCTTCGTTAATAGGTCGAGAAATACTATCGGGAAACATTCTCCACCTCGCTCCACAACTGGTTAGTTCGATAGGGATGATTAGAGAATTACCAGGAGTACTTCGCACTCAATAAAAGAAGCAAAATACACCACTCCAAACTAAAGTGAACTTTAATAAGGGAAATACTGGTGGTTCCTTAGTAGAGCAGCCACCTGTTACACGGGTGGTCAATACCATAAGAAGTACTTTTCACTTTATCCATTTTTAAAGATTCGAAGGGAGAAGTTAATTGATTAGATTTATCAACTTTTGACGTGACAACGTCTTATAATTCGATGGAGCCGGCTGCACGCACGAAAAAACATGACTCATGCGGCGTTACCTCGCTCTGAGGCGTTCTATTTAAGGCATGAAGTGCAAGCGAGAGCGCGGAACGAGCGACAAAGAGGCACAATCGGCCTCCGCGTTGGGCAGCGTTCTACATCTGTCTCTCTCCTACTTGAGTGAGCGATGCGTCCGCGTGGACAGATGCTATACAATAATACATTTTCATTTACCTCCTTCTCTATATCCATACAAAATATCTATCAAACAAATAAAATTAAAAATGAAACCATTCCATCAGTATTTTCTTATGACGTTGTCACGTTCAACTATCGTCAGTAAACCGACTTTACAGACAACCGATTTTTTATTTAAAGTAAATGAAACACTTTCTATAATAACAAAGGATAAAATTCAATCTCATTTGTGTAGATGTCCTTCAGATTCACTGTTTTCTTCGTCTTTTTTCTGTTGTTTGTCGTAGTAATTCCACTCCTGTCTCTCACCTGTGGCAAATACGACGTAAAATAATCCACCCAGGAAATTTATCCCAGCTGTCAAATAAAACACGTTCGACCATTGACTAGAGTTTGTCTGGAAAAAGAAATAATATTAACGAAATACACTCACGTAACCCATTTAAATTAATTACCAATACAAGGATTAAGAGCATTCATACCCAACAAATAAACTAATGTGATAAGTCAGGTACAAACACAACCCAATTTGTTTCTTCCAAAGGTATTTTAGATAAACTAAATTATCGTTTATTCTCAAGTGTGTATACATCTTTGTGTAGAATGTCTCTATTAGTTGTAACTAATACAAATGTATAACAATAAAATAAGGCATTTACAAGGGTGAATGTTAAATTTTTGAAGGTGTTTCAAAACATTCTGTACTTATGTGAAGTGTCGGCTTTAACGTAAAGGAGGTAGGTTGGATGGTATCTTCGGGCTCTGTGCAAGTGGAATCAGTTTTATTTAAAAAAAAGTACTCTTATGTTAAATTAAACGTATATTAATGTTTCTCCCCATTTGGCCCACAGAGGTTGCTTCCGCTGTGGATTTTTGTCACGCAAGAGACAAGTCAATCAATTATTTTCTTTTCGTTTTTATGAATATCTCGTAACCGATTAAAAAATGTTACTAATCTTACTTTATCTTTGACAAACACTCCGACGAGTAGTGGACTAAAGATCGACAGAGCGTTCGAAATCGTGTTTGTGATTCCCATAATTGTGCCAGCATAAACAGGGGACAGATCCAAATGGTTACACAAGAACCCTCCAGTCGAAGCAGCACTTATCCCACCAGCTAATACCAAAAGTACGGTAGCTAAAGTTGAAGTAGCGTTTTCCTGATACAAACCCAAAACCAGCATTGCTACACCAAGACCCATGGAACCTACAACAGAAAAAAATACTTACGATCCTGTAAATCATAGAGAAGGGAGCGAAGGGGTGAGAAATTGGATGCCCAAAAGGAAATAGAAGATCTTTTGTGAATAATGTGCATATTTCGTAACTTTCTTTCGATCAATTACATCAGGATAATTGTACATATGATGGAACCGTCGGTCTAAGGGGTAGAGGGGGTGATATCAACTACCTCCCTTGAGATCAATTCACTTCTAAAAATGTCAGATTAGGCTACATTAGGTTACGTTCCGTTAGTATCTTTTCCAATCTTGGATTCTTTACCTCAATCTCCTTCTTTAACACCTACTAAAACTTTTGATGTTGTACAAGGTCAATTCTCCACCCCCGCCCCTTCCTCATCACCCACCCCTTCCGTCCTCCTTCCACCAACGATCCCATTATCTGCACAGCAATCAAAATCAGACAATGTTATGGTGCAACCCTTACCAATGGTATTGGCAATTTTTCTTCCAACAGTTAAGCTGACCCATCCTTTGTTGACAATGTAGTCAGTTGTTACACCAAATAGAAAGGCCAAAATAGTATTTGCGATGTAGGGCAAGGCAGAAAGAAGCCCATTCTGTGGAAAACATAAGGGTTTACGAAATAACAGACCTAATAATACTATTATTGGGTTGTTCGGAAAGTCATTTCGTTTTTTCCCGACAGAGGATTTAATTGTATTCTTTTGCACCCAACTTCACATTTAAGCCGTATAATTTTTATATGCTTTGAGAGCTCATATAGCAAGGCTTGTGTNCTTGACAGCGGCTCAAGCCAATTCAAATTTGTGCGACTAAATGCGCGGCAGGGTGTTGTAAGGTAGCATATAATTTGAAGAAAATGGATTTTCGTAATAGAAGGAAATGATTCATAATTTTCGCCCCTTTTTACCAATCTTGAAATTTGGACGCATGAAATTTCGATATTGACACATTGGTTCAAGCTAATTCAAATATGTATGATATAAATGCATGACAGGATGTTGTAAGGTGGCATGTACTTTGCTGATAATGGGTTTTCCCTAATGAAACGACATGATTTGTAATTTTTGCTTCTTTGTAAGCAATATTCTAATTTGGATGCATGAAATTCCGATCTTGACAGCGGCTCAAGCCAATTCAAATTTGTGCGACTAAATGCGCGGCAGGGTGTTGTAAGGTAGCATATAATTTGAAGAAAATGGATTTTCGTAATAGAAGGAAATGATTCATAATTTTCGCCCCTTTTTACCAATCTTGAAATTTGGACGCATGAAATTTCGATATTGACACATTGGTTCAAGCTAATTCAAATATGTATGATATAAATGCATGACAGGATGTTGTAAGGTGGCATGTACTTTGCTGATAATGGGTTTTCCCTAATGAAACGACATGATTTGTAATTTTTGCTTCTTTGTAAGCAATATTCTAATTTGGATGCATGAAATTCCGATCTTGACAGCGGCTCAAGCCAATTCAAATTTGTGCGACTAAATGCGCGGCAGGGTGTTGTAAGGTAGCATATAATTTGAAGAAAATGGATTTTCGTAATAGAAGGAAATGATTCATAATTTTCGCCCCTTTTTACCAATCTTGAAATTTGGACGCATGAAATTTCGATATTGACACATTGGTTCAAGCTAATTCAAATATGTATGATATAAATGCATGACAGGATGTTGTAAGGTGGCATGTACTTTGCTGATAATGGGTTTTCCCTAATGAAACGACATGATTTGTAATTTTTGCTTCTTTGTAAGCAATATTCTAATTTGGATGCATGAAATTCCGATCTTGACAGCGGCTCAAGCCAATTCAAATTTGTGCGACTAAATGCGCGGCAGGGTGTTGTAAGGTAGCATATAATTTGAAGAAAATGGATTTTCGTAATAGAAGGAAATGATTCATAATTTTCGCCCCTTTTTACCAATCTTGAAATTTGGACGCATGAAATTTCGATATTGACACATTGGTTCAAGCTAATTCAAATATGTATGATATAAATGCATGACAGGATGTTGTAAGGTGGCATGTACTTTGCTGATAATGGGTTTTCCCTAATGAAACGACATGATTTGTAATTTTTGCTTCTTTGTAAGCAATATTCTAATTTGGATGCATGAAATTCCGATCTTGACAGCGGCTCAAGCCAATTCAAATTTGTGCGACTAAATGCGCGGCAGGGTGTTGTAAGGTAGCATATAATTTGAAGAAAATGGATTTTCGTAATAGAAGGAAATGATTCATAATTTTCGCCCCTTTTTACCAATCTTGAAATTTGGACGCATGAAATTTCGATATTGACACATTGGTTCAAGCTAATTCAAATATGTATGATATAAATGCATGACAGGATGTTGTAAGGTGGCATGTACTTTGCTGATAATGGGTTTTCCCTAATGAAACGACATGATTTGTAATTTTTGCTTCTTTGTAAGCAATATTCTAATTTGGATGCATGAAATTCCGATCTTGACAGCGGCTCAAGCCAATTCAAATTTGTGCGACTAAATGCGCGGCAGGGTGTTGTAAGGTAGCATATAATTTGAAGAAAATGGATTTTCGTAATAGAAGGAAATGATTCATAATTTTCGCCCCTTTTTACCAATCTTGAAATTTGGACGCATGAAATTTCGATATTGACACATTGGTTCAAGCTAATTCAAATATGTATGATATAAATGCATGACAGGATGTTGTAAGGTGGCATGTACTTTGCTGATAATGGGTTTTCCCTAATGAAACGACATGATTTGTAATTTTTGCTTCTTTGTAAGCAATATTCTAATTTGGATGCATGAAATTCCGATCTTGACAGCGGCTCAAGCCAATTCAAATTTGTGCGACTAAATGCGCGGCAGGGTGTTGTAAGGTAGCATATAATTTGAAGAAAATGGATTTTCGTAATAGAAGGAAATGATTCATAATTTTCGCCCCTTTTTACCAATCTTGAAATTTGGACGCATGAAATTTCGATATTGACACATTGGTTCAAGCTAATTCAAATATGTATGATATAAATGCATGACAGGATGTTGTAAGGTGGCATGTACTTTGCTGATAATGGGTTTTCCCTAATGAAACGACATGATTTGTAATTTTTGCTTCTTTGTAAGCAATATTCTAATTTGGATGCATGAAATTCCGATCTTGACAGCGGCTCAAGCCAATTCAAATTTGTGCGACTAAATGCGCGGCAGGGTGTTGTAAGGTAGCATATAATTTGAAGAAAATGGATTTTCGTAATAGAAGGAAATGATTCATAATTTTCGCCCCTTTTTACCAATCTTGAAATTTGGACGCATGAAATTTCGATATTGACACATTGGTTCAAGCTAATTCAAATATGTATGATATAAATGCATGACAGGATGTTGTAAGGTGGCATGTACTTTGCTGATAATGGGTTTTCCCTAATGAAACGACATGATTTGTAATTTTTGCTTCTTTGTAAGCAATATTCTAATTTGGATGCATGAAATTCCGATCTTGACAGCGGCTCAAGCCAATTCAAATTTGTGCGACTAAATGCGCGGCAGGGTGTTGTAAGGTAGCATATAATTTGAAGAAAATGGATTTTCGTAATAGAAGGAAATGATTCATAATTTTCGCCCCTTTTTACCAATCTTGAAATTTGGACGCATGAAATTTCGATATTGACACATTGGTTCAAGCTAATTCAAATATGTATGATATAAATGCATGACAGGATGTTGTAAGGTGGCATGTACTTTGCTGATAATGGGTTTTCCCTAATGAAACGACATGATTTGTAATTTTTGCTTCTTTGTAAGCAATATTCTAATTTGGATGCATGAAATTCCGATCTTGACAGCGGCTCAAGCCAATTCAAATTTGTGCGACTAAATGCGCGGCAGGGTGTTGTAAGGTAGCATATAATTTGAAGAAAATGGATTTTCGTAATAGAAGGAAATGATTCATAATTTTCGCCCCTTTTTACCAATCTTGAAATTTGGACGCATGAAATTTCGATATTGACACATTGGTTCAAGCTAATTCAAATATGTATGATATAAATGCATGACAGGATGTTGTAAGGTGGCATGTACTTTGCTGATAATGGGTTTTCCCTAATGAAACGACATGATTTGTAATTTTTGCTTCTTTGTAAGCAATATTCTAATTTGGATGCATGAAATTCCGATCTTGACAGCGGCTCAAGCCAATTCAAATTTGTGCGACTAAATGCGCGGCAGGGTGTTGTAAGGTAGCATATAATTTGAAGAAAATGGATTTTCGTAATAGAAGGAAATGATTCATAATTTTCGCCCCTTTTTACCAATCTTGAAATTTGGACGCATGAAATTTCGATATTGACACATTGGTTCAAGCTAATTCAAATATGTATGATATAAATGCATGACAGGATGTTGTAAGGTGGCATGTACTTTGCTGATAATGGGTTTTCCCTAATGAAACGACATGATTTGTAATTTTTGCTTCTTTGTAAGCAATATTCTAATTTGGATGCATGAAATTCCGATCTTGACAGCGGCTCAAGCCAATTCAAATTTGTGCGACTAAATGCGCGGCAGGGTGTTGTAAGGTAGCATATAATTTGAAGAAAATGGATTTTCGTAATAGAAGGAAATGATTCATAATTTTCGCCCCTTTTTACCAATCTTGAAATTTGGACGCATGAAATTTCGATATTGACACATTGGTTCAAGCTAATTCAAATATGTATGATATAAATGCATGACAGGATGTTGTAAGGTGGCATGTACTTTGCTGATAATGGGTTTTCCCTAATGAAACGACATGATTTGTAATTTTTGCTTCTTTGTAAGCAATATTCTAATTTGGATGCATGAAATTCCGATCTTGACAGCGGCTCAAGCCAATTCAAATTTGTGCGACTAAATGCGCGGCAGGGTGTTGTAAGGTAGCATATAATTTGAAGAAAATGGATTTTCGTAATAGAAGGAAATGATTCATAATTTTCGCCCCTTTTTACCAATCTTGAAATTTGGACGCATGAAATTTCGATATTGACACATTGGTTCAAGCTAATTCAAATATGTATGATATAAATGCATGACAGGATGTTGTAAGGTGGCATGTACTTTGCTGATAATGGGTTTTCCCTAATGAAACGACATGATTTGTAATTTTTGCTTCTTTGTAAGCAATATTCTAATTTGGATGCATGAAATTCCGATCTTGACAGCGGCTCAAGCCAATTCAAATTTGTGCGACTAAATGCGCGGCAGGGTGTTGTAAGGTAGCATATAATTTGAAGAAAATGGATTTTCGTAATAGAAGGAAATGATTCATAATTTTCGCCCCTTTTTACCAATCTTGAAATTTGGACGCATGAAATTTCGATATTGACACATTGGTTCAAGCTAATTCAAATATGTATGATATAAATGCATGACAGGATGTTGTAAGGTGGCATGTACTTTGCTGATAATGGGTTTTCCCTAATGAAACGACATGATTTGTAATTTTTGCTTCTTTGTAAGCAATATTCTAATTTGGATGCATGAAATTCCGATCTTGACAGCGGCTCAAGCCAATTCAAATTTGTGCGACTAAATGCGCGGCAGGGTGTTGTAAGGTAGCATATAATTTGAAGAAAATGGATTTTCGTAATAGAAGGAAATGATTCATAATTTTCGCCCCTTTTTACCAATCTTGAAATTTGGACGCATGAAATTTCGATATTGACACATTGGTTCAAGCTAATTCAAATATGTATGATATAAATGCATGACAGGATGTTGTAAGGTGGCATGTACTTTGCTGATAATGGGTTTTCCCTAATGAAACGACATGATTTGTAATTTTTGCTTCTTTGTAAGCAATATTCTAATTTGGATGCATGAAATTCCGATCTTGACAGCGGCTCAAGCCAATTCAAATTTGTGCGACTAAATGCGCGGCAGGGTGTTGTAAGGTAGCATATAATTTGAAGAAAATGGATTTTCGTAATAGAAGGAAATGATTCATAATTTTCGCCCCTTTTTACCAATCTTGAAATTTGGACGCATGAAATTTCGATATTGACACATTGGTTCAAGCTAATTCAAATATGTATGATATAAATGCATGACAGGATGTTGTAAGGTGGCATGTACTTTGCTGATAATGGGTTTTCCCTAATGAAACGACATGATTTGTAATTTTTGCTTCTTTGTAAGCAATATTCTAATTTGGATGCATGAAATTCCGATCTTGACAGCGGCTCAAGCCAATTCAAATTTGTGCGACTAAATGCGCGGCAGGGTGTTGTAAGGTAGCATATAATTTGAAGAAAATGGATTTTCGTAATAGAAGGAAATGATTCATAATTTTCGCTCCTTTTTAACCAGTTTTAAGATTTAGACACCGTGTTATCCTTGTATGTCCCATACGTTGTAAAAAACATTAGTTGCAACCATGAACAAAACTGTTTCATCATGAGGCCATCAGTCCTAAGACCGGTTGGACACATACCTCCACTCTTTCCTATCCTGAGCTAAACTTCGCATTTCCCTAAAACTAGAACAACCCACACCCTTAACTATTTGCGAACAGTAATATAATCTAGGTCTACCTCTACCCCTCCTAACTCCTGTTTCTGCTTCTAATATGTCTCTGATTAGACCTTCATGCCTGAGAAGGTGTCCTACCAACCTATCTCGCCTATTTCTTATTGACTTCCACAGAGTCCTCTGTTCTCCTATTCTTTCTAATACCTGTTCATTTCTAACCTTCTCTATCCACGGCATCCTCATCATCCGCCTATAACACCACATTTCGAATGCTTCTAACCTTTTCTTTTCCGCCGCGCCCACTGTCCATGTTTCGCATCCGTACAATGCCGCGCTCCAAACATACACCTTTAACAACCTTTTTCGAATTTCTAAATTAACCGTTCGCGAGCATAGAAGTGACTTCTTTTTATTAAGGGCGACATGACCCTGCGGTATCCTCTGCTTTATATCCCTACTACTCCTTCCATCCTGACTTATCTGACTTCCTAGGTATCTAAAATCAACCACTTCTTCTAATTTTTCGTATCCTATCTTTATATTCGCTCTTTCCCTGCTTTTTCTTCCCTTGCATACCAGTATTTTAGTTTAACTTTTATTTATTTTCGTACAGTACTGATCTCTCAGTACCGCTTCCATTTTATTTAACTGTTTACAAATTTGAATATTCTAAAAATGGAGGAATCCCATTCATTATTTAATTTGATTAGTAGACAGGATCTATATGATTTATAGCACATTTTTTCCGTGTCATTTCCTTTAAACTGATAACAAGGCATCATTAAACTGAGCAAAACTTTCTTCTACATAAACACAAGACTGCAATCTAGAAGTGGCACTTATTGATGATTGACGTAATACATAATAGAAAATAGAAATGTTCGTAATCAAAAATCAGATCGAACTTATCTTTAGCATATCAAATTCGTCGCGTTTAATTTCCACCGCAACGCACAATGGATAACAAAGTCGAACCTTGTACGTACAACTAGTAATAAAATTGTACGAAATGGAAAAAACAAGTAAGTCTTAGCCAATTTATTTTCCTTTGTAGATTCTTTAGTAGATTTTTTGTGCAACGAAACTTGTCATCATTAGGTATCAAATTTGGAGTTCGTCATATCCAAGCTTTATTGTTGTTCTTTCTACTAACATCGGCATTTGCAACAAGGATTAGTTTGTCAATTGGAATCGTTGCCATGACTAATTTGAATTCTACATTTTATCCAGTAAGTGCATTATTTTTTTAAGTAGTAACTTTAAACAGTAGGGAGTAGTAGGGATATAAAGTAGAGGATAGCGCAGGGTCGAGTCGCCTTCAAAAAAAGAAGTCACTTCTTTGCTCGCGAACGGTTAATTTAGAAATTCGAAAAAGATTGTTAAAGGTGTATGTTTGGAACGCGGTGCTGTACAGGTGCGAAACATGGACAGTTGGCGCGGCGGAAAAGAAAAAGTTAGAAGCCTTCGAAATGTGGTGTTACAGGCGAATGATGAGGATGCCGTGGATAGAGAAGGTTAGAAATGAACAGGTATTAGAAAGAATAGGAGAACAGAGGACTCTGTGGAAGTCAATAAGAAATAGGCGAGATAGATTGGTAGAATACCTTTTCAGGCATAAAGGTCTAGCCAAAGACATATTAGAGGCAGAAACAGGAGTTAGGAGGGGTAGAGGTAGACCTAGATTAAATTACTGTTCGCAAATAGTTAAGGATGTGGGCTGTTCTAGTTTTAGGGAAATGCGAAGTTTAGCTCAGGATAGGAAAGAGTGGAGGTACGTGTCCAACCAGTCTTAGGACTGATGACCTTATGATGATGATGATGATGATGATGATGATGATGATGTATGCTCAGCTTAGGGAGTAAATACACCAAAAAACACAATCAAATTGAGAATATCCCTTTTATGAAGTCGATTTTATCAATCAATGATTTTCTATTCTTCTCCCAATTTCACAATTTATCAGGCACGAAGGTCTAGTCAAAGATATATTAGAGGCAGAAACAGGAGTTAGGAGGGGTAGAGGTAGACCTAGATTAGATTACTGTTCGCAAATAGTTAAGGATGTGGGCTGTTCTAGTTTTAGGGAAATGCGAAGTTTAGCTCAGGATAGGAATGAGTGGAGGTACGTGTCCAACCAGTCTTAGGACTAACGACCTTATGATGATGTTGAACTTTAAAAAGAGTAACTGCTATTATTCTTAGTAATAACTGCAACATATTGGGTATCCCATTATTTACGATAGGATAATTATTAGCAATTCTGAAACATTTATTTAAAAGCAAACCTTACAACTTCTGTATCAAAATTACGTATCGCCTTGACTCGTTTTTAAGTCACATTATGATATACTCCTGCTGTAGATTTGTTTGTGTGTTTGTCCATCACTCAATTAGGAATAATCAAAAATAGCACTTTTCTATTTGGCTTTTTAAACTGGGATTTTGTAAAATTTCATCCGATTTCTCAGCGGTTTAAAAGATAATATCAAATGAAAACGGTGGAAAAATGCCTGTCAATGAAATGTTAGATATCCATCTCCGTTGATACGATATTAACATTGTGGAACTAATTAACCATTAAAACGTCTAATCAATTTATGAGTGCAATGTCGATCGGGATCTCGGTTTAATCCAAGATCGATAGTCATTTTTACCGCTCTTGAAAAAGGAAAATGGTACATCATCTTTTGTACTATCTTTCCCAATGATACATTAAGATATTTTCCATTAAAAATAGCATATATCGAAAGGCGAAATATCGATGGAATTGCACAATTAATGAAAAACAAATTCACCCCTTTATGCTTGCTTTTAATTGGAAAATGATAGATTTACTTTTTAGACGTACAACTGGACCGACAAAAGTACCATTTTATCGTCGTTTTTCTGGGGAAACATTTTAACACTTTTACCAGCTGGGCCCATAACAACCAGGTTCGGACCAAAAGTACCGTTTTGTGTCGCAATGGTAGTTTGTTCGTTATTTACAATTGCAATACCTTTTATGGCCCGATTGGGATCTTATGGTGTTATGATATGTAGAATAGTACAAGGGGCGAGTCAAGGATTTTTTAATCCTGGAATATCAAACCTTTTGGGTAAATGGATAGTACCGTCGGAAAGGTCCAGGGTTGGAACCTTTGTATTTGCCGGTAATTTTTTTTAATTCCTTTACATTTCGTGGATGTATCCATGTCAAAGATGAAATATAAATTTAAGGGGGTAATTTGGGTACTGCCCTATCGATGCCCATAACAGGGTGGCTTTGCAGCAGTCAATTCGGATGGCCTTCTGCCTTTTACTTCTTTGGCGGTTTGGGATTGCTATGGGTTGCCGTATGGTTCTTCGTGGGGGCCAACAGTCCTTCGCAGTGTAAATGGATTTCGTTAGAAGAATTGGAATTTATTGAAACATCACTTCACAAACGTGATAATTCAGAAGTAAGTTATTGGCAAAAGTTTTCATGATCAGTTGATGATCTGATGCTGACATGACCCTGAAGATGTCGCCACTCATGTTAGAGAAACATTAGAAAGCAACTTTAGACCCAAATCCCAAATTACGTCAGCATCAGTTCAAAAGTAAATAGTCAAAAAAAAAAGGTAATCATATCACAATAGTTTACTTCAATGGTGGGCTGTGGGGGGTGGAGGAGGCAGTCCACCCCAGGCCTCTGGTCCTGGGAGAAGCCCGAAAGTATTAGGAGTTCTTTTTAATGAAATCCTAGGCAAGGCCAAAATATGTCGGTTAGTATAAGAGGCAATTTCGGCTTTAGGGTTGTACCTACTACATTTTCTTTGTCAGCCATTACAAATGCATCAATTTGAGCAGACCGGGGTGAACTTATTTCATTTTACCACTCCCTGGACTCCGACGAGCTTAGCCCACCATACTTTCTCTTATCTAAGACACATGCATCATTGTTTTTGCTTGATGGTAATAGAAAAATATTAAGTAAGGTATAAGAGGGTTCGCCTATAAGATGCATCACTCTTTAAGAGTACAATAGGGAAGGGAGGGGTCTCTTGATTATAACAACGATAGACAAAGGGGATGGTGGTGTCAACAAGAGTTTCAAGTAACGTAATTTATGAATAGTTCGTAAGCTGCTTCATCTTCCAACGTATCTTTCTATTGTAGTGTCCGACCGAAAGTTCGGTTTCGGTTTCGGTTTCGGTTGAGTTTCGGCAAAAAAACGAGTTTCGGTTTAGTTTCGGTTTCGGCGGCAAACCTGCCGAAACTACGACCGAAACCGAAACGGCGTTCGGGAGTTCTCGCGCTCTGCTCGGTCATGTTCGGCGCGTTAAATTCCATCCAAGCAAAGTAGATTAGTAGACATTTCTCATCTTCAAAAGAAAAATGAGTCTAGCCTACTATACTTACTCAAATAAACATCTCACCTATTTTAAGTATTTTTAAGGCGAAATTAAAATATCTCCTTAAATGAGGGGTTGTTATGTTGATTTTGATTTGATTATCAATAAGTGAAAATGTCAAAGACTGCAGAGCTATGTGATTTGAAGATAAAAAAATAAAACTGACTGATTATAATAACGTTTTCTTTATTTTTCTCTCNTGTGATTTAAAGATAAAAAAATAAAACTGACTGATTATAATAACGTTTTCTTTATTTTTCTCTCAAAACATGATCCTTATAAGGAAGTTTCGGTTTCGGTTTCGGTTTCGGCCGAAACTGAGACCGTTGCCGAAATTCGGTTTCGGTTTCGGTTTCGGTCGTAAAAACCAGTTTCGGTCGGACACTATTCTATTGTTCTATTAGGTTACTCATACCCCTTGGAAGTCATTATTAACATCAGTACCCCTGTGGTCGCTTTTAATTGTCCACATGGCTCAAAATTGGGGTTATTATACGCTGGTCACCGAAATTCCCATTTACATTAACGCCCTGTTTGGTTTAGACGTTTCTTCGGTGAGTTTCATATTTAACTTCTGAAGCGGCGTATTTTAATAAAATTAATCAACAGAACGGTATGCTGTCAGCTCTTCCATACGTAGTCATGTGGATATCCACATTTGTTTACAGTACTTTGGCTGATTATTTGATAAATAGTGGAACCTCAACAACTGGACAAGCAAGAAAAATTCTAAACAGTATAGGTATGCTGTGGTTTCTGGTAGGTGCAAAAGGATTACGAGAAATGGTTGACTTTTTAGGGTTGTATGGTCCCGCTCTTGCACTTGTTTGTTTATCGTTTTATGGAAGTGCATCTTTAATTGTTACCATGGTACTTCTGATACTAGCAGTGGGTCTCAATGCGGCCACAGTGAGTGGTTTTAATGTGAATCATGTAGACTTATCGCCCACGTATGCTGGAACTCTTATGGGGATTACCGGGGGATCTGCTGCTTCCATGTCAATTCTTGGTCCCCTTTTTGTTCAATGGATTGTTACCGACGAGGTATTTTTGGTGCAATAGACTAGGGTTGCCAACCGTCCTGTTTTCCTAGTTTTTGTAGTGTCCTGGGACGTCCTGAATAGTTTTTAAGCAGCGTCCTGGGTTTTTAAATTTTAAAATTCGCGCGCTTCTTCTCAAATTTTTACACTACGAGCAGCCTCACGGCTGACCAATTTTATAATTATTTGCTTACTCAACCACAAATACTGAAGGAAATTAATGGGATTGAAAAATATAGTAAAAATGAATAAGTTTATATAGGGTTGTTCGGAAAGTCATTTCGTTTTTTTTTGTGGAAATGAAAGACAGTTTTCGTATAATAAACAAATACTTTATTAAATTATATATTGACCGTTCTGGTCCAACACCTTTTGCCATCTTTCTGGTAGTAGCATAATTCCACGCTCATAAAATTTTTGGTCTTTGCTGGCAAAAAACTGATCGAGGAGGTTTTTGACCTCCTCATTTGAGGTGAAGGTTTTACCGTCTAAAAAATTTTGGAGTGACCGGAACAAATAATAATCCGATGGTGCCAGGTCTGGAGAATATGGTGGGTGTACCATTGTATCCCATTCAAGCTGTAAAAGCTTTTGGCGAGTGACCAAACTTGTGTGAGGTCTCCCGTTGTCTTGGTGAAACACTACACCTTTCCTGTTGATTAGTTCTGACCTTTTCTGTTGAAGTGCATCATTCAGTTTGTCCAGCTGATGACAGTAGACTTCCGAATTAATCGTTGTGTTATTCGGTAAAAGCTCAAAAAAACGATTCCTTTAAAATCCCACCAAACAGACAGCATCACCTTTTTTTGGTGAATATCGGCTTTGGAAATGGTTTGAGCCGGTTCATCTTTTTTGCTCCATGACCTCTTGCGTTTGACGTTGTTGTATACAACCCATTTTTCGTCTCCAGTGATGATGCTCGTATTCAACTCGTATTTTATCCAAATACTTTTATTAAAAAATGTGATTATTTTAATTAAATGCGTCCTGTTTTTAAACTGAATTGTCCTGGTTTTTCCAACTTCAAATCCTGGTTTTTTTAAATTTGAGGTTGGCAACCCTACAATAGACTACTTAGCATGCGATCTATCGTCATGATCAATCTCAATTCATTCATGCTCTCTTTTCTCACTTTAACATTATGATCCGAACGTTATGGTAGGAAAAGACAACATGAACGGAGTAAAGTTGAACACACACGCCTGAGATAAACCACGTACTATTTACCTATTTATCATTTTACGTATGAAATTAATCCTTTTAGAAAGATTCTTATCAGTGGATGATAATCCTTTTAATATCAGCTGCTATACAAACTGCAGGAAATACATTGTTTGTCGTATATGGAGCAGGAAATATTCAACCATGGGACCCAAGTTATGGTAACTAAATTTCAATGACAATTTATTCGATTAGGTACCTTTTTAATGTACTAGATTTTCTAGATCAAGTTGAAAAAAATAAAGGTGCAACCAATGTGAATATTCATGACAACAGAAAGGTGTGAATCATATTTTGGTGATAATATATTAAAAGATCTGTAACAATATAATATTAATTGGATACCTTGTGATAATACATAATTATATTACAATTAGAATATGCAATTAATTTATGAAATGTAACTAAATAAACCAGGAATGAATTTGATTTTTTTTTAACGCAATCCTTAATACGTTTTTAATTGAACGATTTTATTTAATTTAATTAGTATATAATAATAATTTCGAAAATTTAAAATTATTATCTTCATGGTCAACTGAAAATTAAATATTTTTTATCTCTATAACTAATCTACCAATAATCATTTATATTTCTATAAGGACAATAACTATAAAATTAAAACATATGTTTCGTAGTTCTTTGAAAACCGTCCATCATTCAAATTTCTCCATCCCGTAGACATCTCTAACTATTTGTGTATACCTCTATCCCCCTTTAACTCCTGTTTCTGCTTTTAATACATTTCTAACTACCTCTTCACATATGAGATGGTAAGAAGGTGTATCAACCTATTTCACTTCTTATTGACCTTCATCAACAACATCCGCTGTTCTGTAATAAACAATTGATAACTGATAACTTTAAAGGAAATTAAGTAAATAAACAAGTTTTTGCTCTATTTACCCATAAACTGTAGATAAATAAAACCATTTTACATTATATTTCGAAATTAATTAATTGTAACGGCATTATTTTAAAATGATTTACTGCAATATTTGAATTTATTTTAATTTTCTAAATTAAATTGCAAACTATAATATTTAAAAACTTAATTCGTTATATGTATGTATAGAGAAATTTAATCTTTTTTAATCTTTTCATAAATTTTTTGTGTGTAATTCTTCATATGATTTGTACTTCGTTGGTCAAAAAGACGTTAAGTCATTATTTAGATTTGTTTACAAGGCACAAAAGAATTTTTTAAAAAGGAGGATGTGGAATGTGGAATTGATAAACATCGATGATAATTATTTCACTCAAAATCCTGTAAGTACTTAATTCAATTAACTTTGACATTTTTCAATAATAATAGTGAGCGCTTCTTCTTATAAATTGATAACAAACTGTTCTCAAACGACAGAATTAAATGAAAAATTGTGTGCTACATGAAAAATTGCGTGCAGATAAAAAAATACAATCTAAAAGTAGGACTTACAAAGATTGAACTGTTTTCGTTGATCGGTTGATTTTGTTTTTTTGAAGAGCTTCTAATATTTAATAGATAATAGTATCAGTTAGTTCAATAAGTATATAAAAAATACAATATGGTTAACAATGTCGATATTAACAGCAAAAATGAAGGAGAAAATCGGCCATGTAAGTCAATGTCAAAAGGCAGATAAAATTAAACAATATAAAAATGTAATTAGGCAGTTCATTTGAATATTGCCATTAAATACTGGCAGTACGTAAATAATCTTTAATGTCCTTTCGTACAATAAAGTTCCTTTTCAGGTTTTTTTTCCTTTGGAGTCCGTCACACGCAAGTTTTGCTTTTATTTCTTCTTTTAACCACTGCTTATTCTACAAGAATAAGCTTATCAATTGGAATTGTAGCTATGACTAAAGTAAACTCGACATTTTCACCGGTGAGTTTGTTTTTCTTTGTACTGTAATAGATTTTGATAAGGGTTCTGTAATGTATAAAAGATAAAAGGGGTAATATTTCCCTTGGAGCAGGGCTGTAATCTTGGAATGCGTTATTTATTTCACTGTGAATTTATATGACCTTTTATATTTCCAATTAAAGGAAACGAAAGTAAAGCTTCAAGTAAATAATAATAAAATAAATTTACAATAAATTAAATATTTTACTAAATGTAAATAGTTCTCCATTATTAAATTTAAATTTGTCTT